TATGATATTGATTTTATGTTTTTGAATAATGAAGGATAAGGCTATAAAGAGATTTTTGGTGAGGAATATTGTTGAACAAGCTGCGGTTAGAGATGTTCAAGAATCATGTGTTAATGATGGTATTATATGATTGACTCTGTTTTGGTTTTCTGAAATTTTCAATCTTTTTTTGATAGTGTATCTGATTGCTGAATAGGGATTTTATTGTTTACTTGAAAGGGTATGTTCTTCCTAAACTGTATGCCAAGATGCAATATTGTGTTTCTTGTGCTATTCACTCTCATGTTGTGAGGGTTCGCTCTCGCACTGACAGAAGGAACCGTGACCCACCACAGCGCTTCAGACGTCGGGTATGTTATTTTCCTGAAACCTATGATTGAATGTGTGTGACAATTAGCATTTGGTTGACTTGGAATTGTTTGATTGTACGGTTTGTTTTTTTCACATCCATTAGGTGGATGGAAAGAGAGAACTTTGTGTAGAAGTGCATAAAAATTAAATTCGTTGTTAATATACCAAAGCTTCTTTATCTGGTCAATGGATTTAATCAGTTCCTAATTGACTCGTTCCCTTGAAGCAATATTACTATGTTTTGTTCTTTTTATTCTGTCTCCTCTGATCTTTCATTGGAGAATACAAGAACAAATACATTTCTTTTTTATAAATACTAATTTAGTGTCCTTCTCTGGTCATTGTGGAATTCAAAAGTCTGTCTAATTCATTTCTTTCAAGTGAATTGTTAATTTGTGGTAGCTTCTCTGCTCTTATTATTGCATTGCTGAAACTTGAAACAATTTACATTTGTTATCAAATCTTAAATCATGTTTTTTGGAAATTGTTAATGTTTATGAAACTAATGCCGATGATGACTCCATAGACCTGTAACGATTGCGGAGATGACTGCACATATAACATCTAAGGGGCTGAGGCATTGTTATGTTTATCCCTTTTGCATAAACTAAATTGTTGTAATGGTTTCACTTTTTCTCTAGTATTTTTAAGGTGTGGAAGCTGTACGATTAATGTTTCTGTTGCATACTTGCTAAATATGTGCAATGTGTAAAGGAGGTTCAGTTGTGTTGAGTTACCTAGTAAATAGTAATGCCTACACTTGGCTTTGTTGTGCTGCCTGCTAATGACTATTACAGTTGAAACAATGATCTATATGCAACCCAAATGGTTATTTCATAGTTGTATCAATGGATATTGTTTGTTTACCTTTGCAGGATGATATGCCAAAGACAGGGCAAGCACCACGCCCAGCTGGAGCTGCACCTACTGCTCGTACTTGAGAACTTCTCTGATGTTCTCCCAATGCTCGTCAGGTTGAAAAATCAGTTGCTGCAGTTGTTTTTGCATTATGTAGGATTTTTTCTGTTTTTAACCTTAATACGTTTGAGAATTATTTTTTGTAACCATTTTTTTTTGTAAGCTAGAATTGTTTTTTGTAAGCTTTAAGCAGATTATTTTTTATGTTAAGGCTTTAAGAGAATATGAGCAATAGAACATCTGCTTTGATTATAATTAATTTTAGGAGATTTTTTAGTTTTTATTTAGCATTGCTCTGATTTGTGAATTCATAACCCGGATCTGTTTTTGTGACATCTAAAGTGAAGAAGTCTATGAAGTCTGCTTTGCCCATGACATATAAAACCCTGTTTGTGATTTCATAACTAAAACATCCTAAGTTCACACTCTTGATGTCTGACTGTGTTTCAGATTTTGTGTCTAGTGACTCTGTCTCGGTTACTTTTGTATTGATTCTCTTTTGCTTTGAATGAAACACATCAGTCATTGCTGACTTAGAAATCATGGAACACTTCAGTGGATCCAAAGCCTAGGATGCAATGTATTAGAATAAAGTGCAGACTCAATATGAGTTTTCAGACTTGAATAAAACGGGTTTTCAGACTTAAATAAAGCTCTGCCTTACTATAAGCTAGAGAATATTGTCTGTGTATTGGGATGACCACCACAACTGTAAGCTAGGAAATCCCTATTGTACCAACAGAGATGATCTTTCAAGAGTAGTTCCATTTACCACTTGACGGTAAAATGCATTTTATTTGCATTTTTTTGGGTTTGTCGTACACCCCCTTAATATAAACTTCACAATTCCACTCACAAAAGTTTGTCGAAGGTTTCCATCCTTCTCAATATTGTTCCATCCATGAATACCTTTTAGCTCATCTTCAGTTTGCAGACATTCGGCAATTTCAAAGATACTAACTAAACAATAAGTTTCAGTGTAGCAAGTCCATGTGCGGCATCTGTAGTACTCAGGGGGTTCTAGTACTAGTATCAAAATCTAGTGCTGAACTTTTATATTCACATTCGCAAACACTTCATGGCTTCAGCACATTTCCCTGCAGAATTCAGTCTGTAGGAACTGTTTGTTCAGAGCCTCCACACACTAATACAAAGCCCCCTTATATTTGACTCTTTGTTGGCTAATCTGATGATTGTACCAATATGCAATAGGAGGAAACTGAAGAGAACACATGTCACAAACAATCTAGGTCATAGAGTCACTAGAAAGCATAGACAAGCCATACATACAAACTACCAAACAACATGTAAGAATCGAATACTCTTAAGGGTGCATGAGGGACAACTGCATGCCATCATTGTTGCCAGTAGCACTATCGTCAAAAGCATAGCATGTTACAGGAGAAATTCAGTACTGACATGGTTTAGGCACATCAATTTTTTTATCAATCCAAAATTTTTTGACACACTACTGAAAGCAGAGGATTTATAAAACAAGACGTGCACAAACGTTAGAAGAAAATTACTTTATATTCATGTTAAGAAATAATCACTGACATAAATTAATGTTAACTTCATAGATTGTGAATTTGTGATGCTGATGCTTTAAGATCTGCTTCACAAACTAATCAATTGACTCCAACATTTCTGCTTCAAAACATGCTCATGGCTGCACCTTTAATCTACGTACCAAACCTAAAGCTAACCCCAAATGTAGCTCCTTAGTGCTTTCGGCAAAATACATTGGTAAGAGCTGTTTTAGAAGTCAATGATTCCTTGAGAAGAGAAAGAGCCTGAACCACAAAACAATAGATTTCAAAGCATAATTCAAAGCATCTGCACTGCTCAAACCTTCTATGCTTTTATACAGCTTATCCATACTTCCTATAAATGAATATCCACAAAGAAGCTCTACAGCAGATCCATACTTCCTATAAATTTTGGGTTAATAATATTAACTTTATGACTTGAATGCAAATGCTAAGAAGTGAAGATCCATCAACACAACCATACTACACACTATTTAGATCATAGACGAGAAGTCAGGAAATGCCTTGTTGGTGTGTTTGACAACTTCTAAAAATGTTTTCTGGTCTCTTGTAGATCTTGTGATAAAAAACTCATTCTAACCTCTAATCCTTGAGTTGTTCACTAGGTGAAAATTGTACTATTGAAAATTAAATACAATTGTATATATATACACATTTTCTATATAATTTTT